CTCAGCTCCAAGGCATATAATTTGCAGCACAACTTAAGTCTAAAAGGGTTGTCTGCCAACAAAAGACCTTTGAGTTTGACTACGCTCAGCTCAACGGCACATCATCTGCAGCATAGCTTAAGTCGAGAAGGGCTATCTGCCAAAGACCCCCGAGTTCGATTACACTCAGCTTCGAGGGCACATCATTTGCAGCATAACTTAAGTTGAGAAGGGTTATTTTCCAACCAAAGACCTTCGAGTTCGACTATGCTCAGCTCCAAGGCATATCATTTGCATCATAGCTTAAGTCGATAAGGGCTATATGCCAAAGATCCCCGAGTTCAATTACACTCAGCATCGACGGCACATCATTTACAGTATAACTCAAGGCTAGAAAGATTATCTGTCACTAAATACCTTCGAGTTCGACTACGCTTAGCTCCAAGGCATATCATTTGCAGCATAGCTTAAGTCGAGAAGGGCTATTTGCCAACCGAAGACCTTCGAGTTTGATTACGCTCTCAGAGGAAAACCAAATTTACAGAATAGCTCAAGGCAAGAAGGGCTATCTGTCAATAAAATTATCGAGTTCGATTCCATTCAACTCGATGACACCTCAATCACACTACGTCCAGCTGCAAACAAGGTTTTCAAGTCGAGAAGAAGACCTGGGTTAACCGTGCCTTAGTGACGAGGAATTGTTTTTCCAATAGCATAGCTTAAGTCAAGAAAATCTATTTGTCAAGGAAGAACTTTCGAGTTTGATTTCATTTAGCTCGAGGGCCTATCAACCACATGGTGAAGTCAAAGAACTACTTTCCAGTCGAATTTTTAAACAAAGGTCTTTAAACCGAGAAGAAGACTGAAGCGGACTACAACGAGAAGCCATATCATGATTCCGAACTACGGATTCAATTCCGTGTCATTTCAAGGTGGACTCGACTTCGCGACGGAGGAGCCATCTACAATTCAATTCGACAGGGAGTTATTCTTCAACTTTACTGAACGAAAATTTGTGTCTTTTTATATTTGTCCTAGTTTTCGTTCCACGAAAAAGGACAAAAAGGGGCAGCTGTAGACACTTATTTTCGTCCCATTTTTTATTATTATATATATATATATACACATTATATAGTTTGAAAACATTTTTAAAATATATATATAATATATAGTTTTGACAAGCATGTTTAAAAAATATTTATATATTATATAGTTTTTAAAACATTTTGAAAACTAATATAATATATAGTTTTTAAAACATTTTTTGAATATATATATATTATATAGTTTTTAAAACATCTTGAAAACTAATATAATTTATAGTTTTTAAAACATTTTTTTAAAATATATATATTATATAATTTTTGAAACATTTTGAAAATAAATATAATATATAGTTTTTAAAACATTTTTGAAAATATATATTATATAGTTTTTAAAACATTTTGAAAATATATATAATATTATATAGTTTTTGAAAAATCTTTTTGGAAAATGCATATAATATATAGTTTTTAAAATAACATTTTAGAAATTAATATATTATATATTTTCGAAATTGTTTTTATTTTTATTATTTTATTTATTTATTTATTATTTCTTATTTATTTATTTTTTCTGTTCAGGGTCCAAAATGAGGTTCGAATAGTCCAAGAGTTGGGCCTGAACCAGCCCAGCAGCGTCTAGGGTTTCTCAACTTAGTCCCAACGCCGCACAACTTACGACCGTTAGATCAAGGAGTGATCAACGGCTCAATTCGCGTGATAACTAGGGTTCTGAAGCCCCAAATATCTCATCAAATGCGCAGCCAGATCCAGATCGTTGGATCTGATCCAATCCAACGGTCATAAATGTCCCAGAACGTTCTGGAATGCAAGACGAGATTGCAAATCGTCCATCGACCGAGATCCCCGGTACCCGAAGCTGGAATCCTCACAACAACATCCCAGAAAATGGGTATCCTACATACCGAGAATCGCGCCACGAACACCAAACGGGATTGACCCATCTCGTGATGTTCAGCAACGTTCACCGGCCGAGAGGGTATAAATACCCCCAGACAGAACGAAACCAAGGGGGAATCATCAAAGTGCACAAAGCACCACCAGAGAACAGCATCCACAAAACACAGTAAACCAAGATATCAACAGTACACAACCAGATCGAAAAACCAAACGCACAAGAGAGAACCAACAACAGAACCCACGAGTAAACCAAAAACCAAAGGCAACATCACAAAACTGAAACCATAGAAAATACCAAAGGCCGAAGCACCGCAAAAATCCAAGCAAAATATAAAACAAAGCAAAGTCAAGATACCGCATCGAAAATATATATATTATATAATTTTTGAAACATTTTGAAAATAAATATTATATATAGTTTTTAAAACATTTTTGAAAATATATATTATATAGTTTTTAAAACATTTTGGAAATATATATAATATTATATAGTTTTTTGAAAAATCTTTTTGGAAAATGCATATAATATATAGTTTTTAAAATAACATTTTAGAAATTAATATATTATATATTTTCGAAATTGTTTTTATTTTTATTTTTATTATTTTATTTATTTATTTATTTTTTCTTATTTATTTATTTTTTCTGTTTAGGGTCCAAAATGAGGTTCGAATAGTCCAAGAGTTGGGCCTGAACCAGCCCAGCAGCGTCTAGGGTTTCTCAACTTAGACCCAACGCCGCACAACTTACGGCCGTTAGATCAAGCAGTGATCAACGGCTCAATTCGCGTGATAACTAGGGTTCTGAAGCCCCAAATATCTCATCAAATGTGCAGCCAGATCCAGACCGTTGGATCTGACCCAATCCAACAGTCAGAAATGTCCCAGAACGTTCTGGAATGCAAGACGAGATTGCAAATCGTCCACCGACCGAGATCCCCGGTACCCGAAGCTGGAATCCTCACAACAACAGCCCGAAAAATGGGTATCATACATACCGAGAATCGCGCCACGAACACCAAACAGGACTAACCCATCCCGTGATGTTCGACAACATTCACCAGCCGATAGGGTATAAATACCCCCAGATAGAATGAAACCAAGGGGGAATCATCAACAGTGCACAAAGCACCACCAGAGAACAGCATCCACAAAACATAGTAAACCAAGATATCAACAGTACACAACCAGATCGAAAAACCAAACGCACAAGAGAGAACCCACAACAGAACCCATGAGTAAACCAAGAACCAAAGGCAACATCACAAAACCGAAACCACAGAAAATACCAAAGGCCGAAGCCCCCCAAAAATCCAAGCAAAATATAAAAAAAAGCAAAGTCAAAAGACCCCGTCGAAAACCAGAGAACCGAGGAGTCACCATCGATGAAGGTAAAAAGTCGGATCTTCGGGCGTAGATTTACGTTGCTTGGGGTCTTTTTGTGAGGTTTGGGGCTCAGATCTGGGACAACGGGGTTAAGGAGAGCCTTGTGGGTGGTTTATATTTTGTTGGCCGCCGCTGGCTGAGAGAATTTGAGAACTTCTCTCATTAGAGGAGAAAAGGATTTTCGCTGGAATGTGAGAAACGAATGTGATAGAGTGTTTTGGCCCACTTATATACGAGGGACCGGATTGCAAATAGAGGATTTTCAAATCCTCTCCGCGGTCCCTATAACTTTGAGTCGCTTTACAATTCGGTCCCTAGGTGTAATTTGACCCCCGAATTTTCAGTTTAATCGATTTAATCCCGGTTTTTATTTTTACATTTTCGTTAATTGATCCCCTAATTTTCTTTTTTCTTTTGCAGTTCATTTTTTTAAATACCAATAGAATCCATTAATTCTAATCTATTTCAATTTGGTCCTCCAATTTTATTTTATTTTATCATTATTATTATTTTTCCTCTTCTCATATTATTATTATTATTATTTTATTGTTTAGAAACTTACCATCTGTGATTTCTTTACCTTTTTATTATTCTTTTTTATTTATTATTTTATCATTTTTTTAAGTATTGGTTTATTATTTTTATTTTTATTATTATTTTTGCCTAACATCTTCATTTTTTTTTATTTCCTTTAACGTGTTAACTTTGTAGAGAAATTTTCAATCAATCAAAGGTAAGCAAGTCAGATCGTTATTTTACCTTTAAATTTAACGTACAACTTTCTTAATTAAGACAACTGTAAATTACATAGTACCGAAAGTGCAGTTCAAGGTGCTTACCTTTCCTTGACTGTAACTGACTCCCATATCCGACATATCACTGGTAAAGACGCAGATCAGGTAAGATGGTGTCCGACCCACCTAGATTCGTTTTCAAATGGTCGGTGGCGACTCTAACCCAATTAATTCAAGTCGAAACCCAATTCCGAGGCCCAACCGAAAGACGGTTCCGAGAGGGGTAATGGGGGAAGACATAGAAAAAAGAAGCAGCGGGAGACAATATCCGGTTTTGTCTCCGGAAGAAGCAGATGTCAAAGGCTTAACCCATTTTGATTCTTTGGGGGGCCTGTTGGTCGTTGGAGCTTCAAAGAGGGAATGTGCGTTTCTCGTTATCTTTCTATATTAGCCATATATGTTTACTAGGTTTAATAGATATGTTCTTGTATGTCTAATGAAGTAGAATCTATTCGACCCAAAAATGAAATCAACAGTAGTATGGAAGATTATCAAATGTGTAGTATTTGATTATAGTCTTCCAAACCTAATGGTCATAGTTGAGCGAAAGGAGTGTAGTTTCGTTCCAACGAGGAAGAGTTAAAACCTGTGGTGCCATTTTAACCTTATCTAGGTGATTTCAATTGTCAACAATGAGTCGACTTGGTCGAAAGTCAATACAAAGGTTAGTTGTTATGTCAACGTCCAAGACAAACACTAAAACACAAGCATTTGCTTTTCTCCCTCACAACAAGTGGCATATAATTCTTTTGGTCCACGCTTTCATATAATAGAATAATACCCTTGAATCCAGACACTCAAAAGAAGCCTCCTTAAACAATGACTGCTTAGTCTTCGTTCTCCTTGTTCATACATTGTTGTAAGAATCTCCACTGTCCATCTCTTTCTCCTTCATTTCTTTTTCTTTCCTTTGTAAATTGTATGGCCGGCCTTAATTTTAATCCATCATTTTCTCCTTACATTTCCCATCACCTGTACTCGGACTAAGAGTGTGTGTATATATTATGCCTCAGTTCATACATGTTTTGTACTGCTACTCGGTCATGGGGTTCCTCAGCTTTACTCTGCTGATTCTTGGGCTGCTTCAGCTTGTTTCTGCACAACAAACCACTGATCCAAATGAAGGTCTATACTCTATAGGCAAAAAAATAAAAACATTTATCTTTTATAGAACGATCTGCAATTTTCGTACGTGTTTCTGATCTGCAATTTTCTTTCTCAGTGGCTGCCCTTAGAAGTATCATAAGTTACTGGAACCTGGGGAGCAAGATCAATCTAACAATGGATCCTTGCAACCAAACTGCACCATGGGCCACTGAGGATTCTAACCCTCGTGTTGCCTGTGACTGCACCAGCAATCCATGCCACATCACTCATTTGTCAGCTTACAAGCACCTCCATGGTTCATTTTTCTTTGTTTGCTGCTGTGTTTATTGACCAGAACTTGTTTTAAACATCTGCAGGAAGATTTATGCTTTGGATATCAAGGGTGAGATACCCAAAAAGTTGTTTGAGCTTAAGGAGTTAATGGACTTGTATGAGACTGAAAATTTTGAACTTTGAGTCCCTTGTTTTAGCCATTGTTTTAGATTGATCTGATGTGTTAACTGTGATGCAGGAACCTCGGTCAGAATGTGTTGAAAGGTTCCGTTCCGGCTGAAATCGGACAACTATCAAAGATGCAATACCTGTAACTCTCTTAACCTGCTACTGTTGAGCTCATTTGTAGGAAAGGAACTTGAACTATCACTAAGATCTTTTTGTTTGAACAATTGAACAGTAGCTTAGGCATAAACAATTTAACAGGAGCAGTGCCTTCAGAGCTTGGCAATTTAACACAGTTGCTTTCACTGTTAAGTTCATATCTATCTGTAATTTCTTCAACATTTTTCATATTCTTTTCTGGTTTTGTAACTACCAAGCTCATTTAATCATTTCCCTGTTTTTTTCTTTGTATTTATGTGTTATAGGAGTTTTAGCTCAAACAATTTCATTGGACCATTGCCCAAAGAGCTTGGAAATTTGACATCCTTACAGCAGCTGTAAGTAAACCAATCTGAAATTCAGATTCAACTTCTTCTTTTTGAGGTGTTCTTTATGTTATTCGAACTCGAGTACGAGACTCGACTTGCGCATTTTATAATTGATCATCAAACTTTCCTTTCAGGTATATTGATAGCAGTGGAGTGAGTGGACCAATACCTGAAGAATTTGCCAATTTAAAAGCCCTTCAGATTCTGTACTTCTCTATAGATTATTGATTATTGAAACATAAAAGGAACTTGTTGGAAAGCTTATTTTCTTTTACTTTGGCAACATCTCAGCTGGGCTTCTGATAACCTCTTAACTGGGAAACTGCCAGAATATTTTGGGACCTTCACAGAATTCAGAGACATGTAATGAATATGGCTTTCACTTCAACTATATGATTCCATTTTCATAAACAGCACTAGTTTTTATAGTCTTCTTTCGTTGACAGGAGACTCCAAGGAACATCTCTCGAAGGTCCAATACCGAGCAGCTTTTCCGCTCTAACAAAACTTGAAGATCTGTAAGGCCTTATGTTTTCTACATACAAAAACCCGATTGATTGTTTTAAGTAGTTTCTGAGCATATATATGTATGTCCGATTCGTATTTGAAATGTATAGGAGAATTGGTGATCTAAGAGGGGAAGATTCATCCCTTGATTTTCTGGACAACCAAACAAGTTTGTCAACACTGTAAGAATTCTTTCCTCTTTTTCAGCTGCTGTAGTTGTTGTCACATTTATGTATTGTATATGTTCAATGCAGATCTTTGAGAAATTGTCACTTGTCGGGACAAATTCCGGAACGTCTTGGAAAATTCACCAAGTTGAAATACTTGTAAGCATTATTTTGTTTAGCTAGCAATGAAAGTGATATGATTGTTCACTCAGTACATAATCTGCATAAAATCATGATCTCAGGGACCTGAGTTTCAATGAGTTGACAGGTCGAATACCAACCTCTTTCCGGGGATTCTCTTCGTTACAGTTCTTGTAAGTCATCTAACTATAGCTCTTCACCCTCCTAGGACATCAATGGACTAGAGATGTGACTTAGTTTCCAAAATCATCAAAACCTTAATTTGTAGGATCTTATGCGTATAAACACGGATAACTCGATTCTTAGGCGAATTCTTTCATAGTGGGGGAAATACAGGTGCAGCAGTATCAGTTCATCTGATTATACGTATTGCAGGTATCTTGGAGACAACAACTTGAGTGGGGAGTTGCCTGAAGATATCTTAACTCCGGAGCTCATTGCACTGTAGGTGTCATTTGGAGTTCGATTTCGGCTTTGTCACAACTTCTTACGCTTTATGCCAATGGTTTTCGAGTTGATTCATACGGATTTAAGCTCCTTTTCATTGCAGGGATGTTTCATTCAATCCCCTTTCTGGAAATTTACCGCCACAATCCTCTACAACGAAATCGATGTAAGTTGTATATGTCCAATTGGTTTATCAGCTTGAACCATAACTGACTTCCTTTTCTTCATGTTCAGAAATGTTATTGGAACTTCTATCAATACAAATGGATTACAGGACAAGTAAGCAAATAACACCCTGCAGATTTCCGAGTTCGTATAACGATTTAATATGAAATTTTATCGAGTTTTGACGAACCGTGTCGATGGTGTTAATACAGTAAGGCTTCTGGGATGTTGGACTGCCTCCAAGGCCAAACCAAGTGCAAAAATAAGGGCTCATCCAGTGAGTGTAGCTTTTCATTTACCAGCATAGAATGAACAATATGATATGTATCAATAAAAAAATTGTTTGCAGCTTCATTTTCAATCAAGAGTGGAGGCACAGCTCAAACTTCTGCGTCCGGTATCAAATTCGACGACGACTCCGAAACACTCGGATCTGCCTCGTTGTATACAAGTACCAACGATCGATGGGCAGTAAGCAGTACTGGGAATTTCATTTCGAACCCGAACGGAAACCGGTATACGGCAATGACGGATTCTCAGATCACGGGAACTTTAGACTCAGAGCTGTATAAGACCTCAAGGGTTTCACCTAGTTCTTTGAGGTACTATGGCCTTGGTCTAAAAAATGGAAAATATAGCGTTGAACTTCATTTTGCAGAGATAGAAATGGATGACTCATTGTCTTGGAGAGGTCTTGGTAGACGCTTATTTGATGTTTATGTTCAGGTATGTCACCAAAAACTCGAAAAACCTTTCATCGTTTTCGAATTTCCAAGTTGCGGATCATTGATTTCTTCATTACTGTTATTCAAGGGTGTGAAAGTTCTTGAAGATTTCAATATCCAGAAAGAGGCTGGTGGATCAGAAAAGGCATTGGTAAGAACATTTGAGACAAATGTGACAAACACAATAATGGAGATTCACTTCTTCTGGGCTGGGAAAGGCACTTGCTGTATTCCATATCAGAGCACATATGGCCCCTTGGTATCCGCAATACATGCATCCCAAGGTTACTTTTTTCACTTAAACATCATTCATCTTATCATCTCCGACCAGTTGTCATCCCTAATAAATTCCTTTTTGCAGTGTCCGAAGCTGCCGGTGTCTCTTCGAACAACAAACACGTCGGACGAATCGTCGGGATCATAGTCGGGGTTACCGCCGGGGTCGTGATACTGTCTTCCGTATTGTACTTATGGTGGAAGAAGGATCCACAGGGTCATATGAGAGTTTTAAGAGATTCACCAAAGAAGCCATTAAAGTAGTCACGTTGTGTTGTGCATTTACCTAATGGAATAACTAGATACCATGTCCATGTTACATAAATGGATGGTTGAAGACAATGTCCATTAGATTTAAATTATGTAATCGCTGTCTTTCTTTCAACTAGCTTAGCCCACTGTTGTGTAATTTATGAATAAAAAAGTGGGTTTTTTTTGTGGTTTTCTCATTACCAATTTTCAATGCTTTTGTCTCTTTCTTGATGTCTGGATCTTTGTCTTCTCCAACAGGCGGTCCTGATGTTAAATAGTGTTTTTGGTTGGTTGGGATAAAGAGTGATATAGTAAAATAATATATGCATGTACTTATTTAATTTATTATGCATTATGCTTTTGTTCAATTAATTAAACTATTCAAACATAATGCATAATAAACTAAATAAGTACTTGTATAAATTATTCGAATATCATTAAACTCAAGATTATGTATCATTTTTATTACTAGAATTTAAATTATTTTAATTTTAATAACGAATTTTGGTTGAATTCGATGCATGTATTAGACGTTTAAATTTAAAACGGCGGGCTGACGTAGAAGACAATTTTTATCATTGTGATGAGAAGGTTAAAATAATATTATTTCAATTGAATAAAAATTAGGTTTAATTGGAAAATAAAAACTCAAGTTATATATTTTGTTTTTTTAGGTGTTTAATTTTTGTTGTCGGTAGATATTAAGTGTTTTGAAAGTTATTATTTTAGGGTCAATTTAATGACAATCGTTAAAAAGTTCCGTCAATAACTCAAAATTCTTTAAAATCTCTAATCATAAATCATCGGTTGCCAACGTTGATGACGAGCGTCCATCCATCCGTAGTTGGACTCATATTGTTTGTTATCCCTTTGTCGTTCCAATCTTTAAAGTCCTTAAATTTAAATACTTTTTTTTGTTTGTTGAAGATTTTGTATATTATCTATATACGAATAAAAAATACAAAACGATATTGTTTAGGGTCTGTTAAAAAAACCTCCCTATACCTATACCTAGATTGAGGAAAAAAGAGGGCATGTTTACCAAAAAAATACCCAAATATCATAATATTATCTGTCAGACACCGTTTTCCTAAATTTTATCAATCTAACAGCTTTTATAACGGGGTTAGTTTATATAGACATATTAGCGTGTTTATGTTATGTTTTTTTATTATGTGTGATAAAAATTAAAAAGTGTATTCTTCAACTTTTTTTTATCTCTATATCTAATGAATCTACTTATACACTATTGTTAAATTACATTAGGTTAATATTTATTATTAAGGTTTATTAATTAAGATTAGATATATGTTAACATGTTTAAATACTTATTTTTTAATTATGAGTTCAAAAAATTTATGTAACACAAATTAAAAATATTTCATTGACATATAAATGTATGATTTACTGAAAATGATTAATTAGATCTATAATTTAAGTTGAACCTAATATAAAAATATTGTTTGGTGTCATGAACATGTAAGATGTGAGGTTTATATAATTTAAGATGCAAGGAAATAAAAATTCATATATGGTTTGATCCTATACAAGACCACCATAACTATGCAATTATGTAAACCCCTACTAAAATTATATAAGTGTGATCTAACTTGTTTATAATTTTAAAAGCACTATCGATATTTCTAAATTAGATAGATTGATAATAGTATCTAATACATATAAAAATATCTAATCTTAATAATAAATATTAACCTAATGTAATTTAACAATAATGCATAAGTAAATTCATTAGATATAAAAAAAAGTTAAAGAATACACTTTTTAGCTTTTATCCACATTGTCAAGAAACATAACTTACACACTCTAATATCCCTACATAAACTAACCCCGTTAAGCTCTTCATCTCATGGAACTAATATGTATTAAATTATAATATTAGTCCTTATAGTTTTATTTTTCAATTTTTAAAGCATATTTTTTTAAATGTTTTTAGGAAATATGATGTGGCAAGAAAATCTTAAAAGGTGTGTCCCTTGAAACGTATCTTTCTACGTGATTCACCATCAAAGACATATTTCACATAACGTGATTTATTATAAAATGTACTAGATCGATAAAATTTTAGAAAACAATGTTTGACAGATAATATTATAATATTTGAATGATTTTATGATAAAAACGCAAAAAAAAAATTCCAACCACGAATGTCAAAGTCAGAAACAGTGCACCTCCATAAGCCCGCCTAGCAGCACTCAGATCTTAGAACAAAAAAAGCTTAAAAATGCCTCAAAGGTAATACCATAAAAGCACCACACTCACGCCTGCCGTAACCAGAGTAGAACGCCCTAAAAAAAAAAAAAAATCTATTGGAACCACCTAGAGATAATTTTAAAAGCCCTTAAGCTTTGACCATATCTCAGCACACGAATAAACCAATACATTCTTACTCATCGACTTCACTAACCCTCTTCCCACGGTCTAACTAGATGAAAGAAAGTTCCACCGTAATCGGCTTCAGCATCGACCACCAAAAAAAAAACATTCAAGGATCCAGGACAACTCCATATACAAACAATCAATGACCATAACCCCCACGCTTCCCGCCACAATGCTCAAGACAGCCAATCAACAAAAGATCATGAGTTCCCCTGCTCTAAGAACACGAAACGCCTATCCAAATCAAAGCACAAAACCTGACACTAAGCCATTTGACTCATCTTTCCTGGTCACCTGCATAAACTAAACTGTAACAAAATTGCACCCTCAACCCAACCGACATAATTTACGGCCAAACAACCTCCAGCTCAACACCATAAGACATACTTCTAAAGAATGCTTCCTCTATAAATATGCCCCCAATGGCACCCTCACCCAAATAGGGGGAGAATAAACCTAATTAGATCAACACCCCTGTCCAAGAATATCGCATAAAACAAACAAAACATCACATAGCATAGCATCTAAATGACAGTTCTTCACCTAACATGTGAAACAATTTCTTAGAAACATACAAGCTACCTGCAAAAATCTGAAAAATCTTAACCAAGCGTACCCCTAAAGCCCCTAGCTGCATAACCAAGATAAAACAGGTAGAACCCCAGTAACCCAACAAGATTCAATCAAAAACATCAATCGTTCATCAACAAAAAATCAACGGGCCCATTAATATCTTATCTAGCTAGAGAATGAGCCACACAATTATGCTCTCTGAAAGCAAACCTCACATTTCATACTTTGTTTTTTGAGCACAAAGAATGACTCAGCTGTACCTACTCGGTGAATTCCATAGGAGCAGAACAAGGATTACTTATCCAGTTAACCGTAATTTGATAGTCTTATACGCAAATCCCTAAATATTTTATACTCAAATCTCTAATTCCTTCGACTCCAACAACTTTTTTCCTTTCCCATAGAAACTCGTCACTGATAAGACTCTTCATCACATCACATTGTTGGTGCACCCCTATTCCATTCACTTATATTTCTCTCTCCCTCGTTCGATTTCTTGCTTCCACTTATCGAGAAATCAGCGTTGACATTTTCTCCTTTTTTTTTTCCTTTGCATTGTCGATTGTTATTCGACCTACAACATTCACGGAAGAGGTGCCAATTATGACTAATTTAGATAATAACATATGAGATTTGAAAATTACAGATCAAAGATTTAACGTTTTAGATATATGTGAATTATAATGGATTAAATATAAAATAAGTGTTCAAACTATAACGCTTTTCACGAATTGTACCTAAAGTATTTTTTGACTCATTCTGGAGCCTAAAGTTACAATTGTTATCACTTTAGGTGTCCGGCCCATCAAAGATGTTAATTTCCCCCATTAAGTGACATATGTCACAATATGGTAATTTTAAAAATTTTATTTAAAAAAAAGTATATATATTTAAAAAATATAAATTTGAAATAATCTCAAAACTTTGAAAGCATTCATTTCAACCCCTAAACCTACGTCAATCGTCACCCTTTGCCGTTAAAGAAGCTCCACTCAACCTCACCTCCCCCGGTGACCAAAACTCCAATGAAATCTTGACCGATCACAGCCGATCGACGATGGATCGACGTTTCATACCCCACAAACCCTAGGATAAAAATTGCAATCCCAAGCGATTCTGATGCTCAATCGACAACAACTACGACGACGTATGGCTAGGAGGATGGTAGGGACTACATCGGCGACAGAGGTTGTGGCCAGAAAGATTAACGTTGGCAGGTTAAGTTTAAGATTTGGGGATTTTAGGATTTTGGGACCTTTTTTATAATTTAAGAGAAATTAGTTTTTTTATAAATATAATAATATTTTTATATTTTTTAAAAATAAATTTCAAAATCACTATATTGTGACATGTGTCACTTAACAGAAGAAATTAACGTCGTTGACGGTCCGAACACCTAAAATGGTAATGTTTGTAACGTTAGGCACCGAGATAAGTCAAAAAATACTTTAGGCACCTATTCGTGAATAATGATATAGTTTGGGCACTTATTTTTATAACTCAACCAATTATAATAGTAAGAATTTTGATTTAGAAGGATGAGACATGATGTTTTTAAACAATGTTCAATATTTATATTATGGAATCATAAATAAAGCAAATTATATTAAGGGTAAAGTATATAATTAGTCTCCGAATTTTTAGGGCACTTGTATTTTGGTTATCTAACTTTAAAACTTGCAATACAATTATCGAACTTTTAATTCATTTTCATTTTAATCCCTTATATTATCTCTTGTTAATTTTTACTGATGTGACACTTAATCCCGTTAACTCCCGGTTTTACTTCTTATTCTTATTTTCAGATTGAGCCGCATTTGCACCAAGCAATTGTGACCGAGGGATAGCTGAAAAAGAAGCATCGAAGCTCCATTATGAGCATTATTGAAATAATCCATTGTTGCATTAGCTGAAACATTAAATCTGCAACACTGTGTTTCATCAAGATCACCAAGAAAACATGTCCATCAAAACTTAAATGATCAATTCTCGAGCTTAAGGAACTGTATTAAGAACTTAAACAACTACAAAACTCAATCAAAGCTACCACATTGTAAACAATATCCATATAACTTCAGTTTCTTTTTATCGGATTGAAAATTCTATTACAAAACATAAACAAAAGTATGAAAGGGGACATGGGTTTTTAGAGCTTTTACCTGTGCCGAGTTGAAGTAGAGCGAGCCTCCGAGAAGGATGGTGGTTGTAACAGTTATGAATGCAGCAATGTT